AAAAAAAAAAAAAAGACATCAGTCAGTGCAACACATCGACAAGAAAATTATCCTGAGTAGGGATTTTTTTAGTGTCAGGAACAGTCGTCACATTGGAAATCGGAATAAATCACCTTCACGTGATTGACAAGAACAAGTCCCTGTTTCAGCACCAGGGCCCACACCTACCTGAACGGCCAAATATAAAACGGAAGCTGACCTATGAACATTCCTCTCCCAGGCACCATTCTGGGTCTTCCACTATAGGCCCTACCTGAGATCTACTAAAATAATAAACTTGGTGATTTTCTACCTGAAAGTTATGAGTGAGAAGGGCTCCTGTCCTCAGGGTTGGGGAGGTACCTTGATGGGCTGGGTGCTGCTGACTGCAGCCAGCCACAGGGGAAACTGAGACCCCCCCTTCCTGCCTGGGGTGAGTTGCCATACCTTGCAACTTCTCAGGAAAAGCAGGAGATCTGTATTTTAAATATGAGCAACATCTATGTTCTTTTGAAATTCTGTTCAGGACAAGCAGAGCCTGTGGCCTGCAGACCACCGTTTGATGACCTCTGACCTGCCTTGCCCTGTCCACCTCTGCAATCAGAGCCCATACTGCCCCTGTGCCTGCTGGGACCATGAGTATTCCTTTCCTGATAGGCTTTCCAGCACTGTCTGTGATGTGTACCACGCAGAGAGCAGGAGAGGAGAGGAGAAAGGGAGGCTTTCATCTGTTAGTACATTCAACCTGTGAATACCCTGTCAAAGCCACCAGGTGTCCAACCTTTGACCTGTGGGCCACATGCTAATTTTGTCAGTGGTTTTTTTTTTTTTGCTTATCTGTGGTGTCACATACCATAAAAAGTAGGCACAGACCTTTCTGTGCTAATGAACTTTCATTTGTATTTGTGTATTTAACGTGTGGCCCAAGACAACTCTTATTTTGCTGATGCTGCAGAGAGAAAAAAAGGTTGGACACCCCTCTAGACTGTGAAATGAATCACTATCAAGGTAAAACATAAGTTACTAGAGAGGGGGAGATGCTGAATTCTTCAATTGTTTGGGTTTTTTTTTGAGACAGAGTCTCATTCTGTTGCCCTCAGTAGAGGGCTGTGGTATCACAGCTCACAGCAACCTCAAACTCTTGGGCTTAAGCAATTCTCTTGCAGCCTCCCAAGTAGCTGGAACTACAGGTGCTGTAGCCAGCTATTTTTAGAGACAGGAATCTTGCTCTTGTTCAGGCTGGTCTCGTATCTGTGAGCTCAGGCAATCCACCTGCCATGGCCTTCCAGAGTGCCAGGATTACAAGTGTTCGCTACTGTGCCCAGCCTGCTAGACTGTTCTTAAAGGTATCTTCATTTCTTTCCTATCATGATGAAGTCTGAGTTGCCATTAACCTTTAAAGCCTTGAATGCTTCATGAGTGAGCAGAACATCCATGGACATCGCTCTGCTCCCAGGCGCTCCTACCCAGGTACAGCTGATTCAGGTGCTTGAAAACAGTGGGCTGAATGGGGGGCGGGGGCTGTCCTGGCCCTCACTATATTTGGGATGGTCTGAAATTAAGTCAATCTCAAGAGCACCAAGACCAACTTTAACACTATGACCACAGCCATGTGAGAATGTATATTTTACAGACGATAAATTTCCTGATGAATTTTTGAGAAAATAATTATTTTTAAAGAATAAAAAGAGTCAGCCCATAAAGTCTCTAAGAAATCTACATCTTTGCGGAAAACAGGAACACGCAGTGCTTTCTTTAAAGGTTTTTGCACAGACAATGATGCCTGCTGGATTTATGCATTCATTAGATTACCCTTATCCCAGTTTTTTACAGTTCTTTGAAGATGATCCTGGATAGTTTATTGTCTTTGAATAAAACATATTATAAAAATACTCTAATTTTCTTAAGTACTCAAATGTTTCTCTTTATAAAAATAGTTCTAAGAACCTGAAGTATTAAACATGCAGGTTTTGCCTCTGCTTACAACATGTGCACAAAAACCACCCACAGCCATCTGCGGATTCGATGTAAAAACAAAGCAGGTGCCCATCGGCTGAGCGCTCCCAGAGCTGCTGTATAATCCGCTGGCTGCGGCCCCTGCCCTCCTCCTGCAGGTGTTCCCGAGATGGTACAAATCCTGGCCAGCCTGGGAAGACTTATAGACATCAGAGTTCCAAGGAAGGCACTTGCATTTCACTTGTGTTAAAAATAGGCACTTTAGAATTCAGTCTCAATTTGGAATATAGTAAAACCTCAATGACTGTGTACAAAGACCTCCAGGAAACAAAAACACCAATGTGGCAGCTCTGAGTAATGATCTTTATTTTCTACTTTATCCTTCTTCACATTTTCCCAATTTTTCTGAATGGGCCTAGGCTACTTCCATAATCAGGGGAGAAAAGTGTTTTTTAAAAGGAGAAAAAAAAATCAAAATATTATCTTAATAAAGAAATGCTTTTTCTTATTTTGGACATGAATCCATGTGCTATTATTAATCAGAAGATAATATACATTATTTCTAAGTCTAAATATGAAAAAATACTAAGTCCTTTACATTTTCCAAAAGACATAAGACATAAGTGGCTTCAAAAAAATTTAGAAATTGGCATCATTCCAAAGTTCACCATTTGTTATTATAAAACCTCTCCTTTCCAATGAAAATAACTTCAAAATACCTTTAAAATATGGCTTTGAGTCTACTAGTTCAAAAAATAAAACAGGTGGAAAATGTGAATTTTCAACCTAAAATAGAAAGCACCTCCTATTTTTGTTACCTTAACTTTTTGGAAGGATAGCATATAAATTGGTTTTTTTTTTTTTTAAACAGTATATCACTTTCTCACCCTTGGTAGAGTGCCCTGGCGTCACAGCTCATAGCAACCTTAAACTCTTGGGCTTAAGTGATTCTCTTGCCTCAGCCTCCCAAGGAGCTGGGACTATAAGAGTCCACCACAATGCTCAGCTATTTTTTCGAGATGGGGTCTCACACTTGCTCAGGCTAGTCTTCAAGTCCTGAACGCAAGCAATCCACCTGCCTCGGCCTCCCAAAGTGTTTGAATTACATGCGTAAGCCACCACACCCCGCCACGGTCTTAATTCTAAGTAAATAAATATACTCTATTTTTAGCAACAATTAAAAATTGAAAAAAAAAAAACCTAGCTCCTTTTTTGTGTTTTACCATGAATTAATCCATTTGAAGAAGTAAAAACTAAAAATTTTGGAGACTATATACACATTCTTCTACTACCTTGAATCTCATTCCCTAAGAACAATCTTAGAAAGATGAATTTTAACTTAAGAATAAGATAAGATTTACCTCCTTTGATGCCAACCGTGGTTTCAGGCCAAGGAATGAAAAGACTGTGTTGCTTTCCTTTGATTCAAAAAAACTGTCATAATCCTAGGAAAAAGGAAAGGAGAAAATTAAACCAGTCAACAAATTCTTTATGGAAGTAAAAACTGCACCACTGAATGTAACAAGTTTTTATTTATTTTATTATAATTATTATTTTTAGTGTTCGGGATTCATTGAGGGTACAAAGAATTAGGTTATACTGCTTGCATTTGTTAGGTGAAGTCCCTCTATATAATTATGTCCCAAGCTCCAAGAGATGAGTCATATGCTGTGACCTCCATCCCCCGCTCCTCCCTCTCCCTGCTCCCTCATTCTCCTACCCCCGCACCCCTGTATTAGCTCATCTTCTGCCTTCATATTAGTATTGAGTACACTGGATTCTTGCTTCTCCATTCTTGTGATGCTTTACTAAGAAGAATGTGTTCCACTTCCATCCAGGTTAATACAAAAGATGTAAAGTCTCCATCTTTTTTTAGTGGCTAAACATTATTCCATGGCATCCATATACCACAGCTTGTTAATCCACTCCTGGGGTGGTGGGCATTTAGGCTGTTTCCACATTTTGGCGATTGTATCCCATTTGATCCTGCAATCCCATTACTAGGCATCTACCCAGAAGGAAAAAAATCCTTTTATCATAAGGACACTTGCACTAGACTGTTTATCGCAGCTCATTTTACAATCCCCAGAATGTAACAAGATTTTAATTTGAAACCTACACAGAATTAAAACGTAAGATATTTGACAAAAGAAATGAAATAGGAACATTAAAAATGTGCCACGCGACCATCTGCTGGTGCGTGATCACTCTGGCCTGGGATTCACGCTCAGTCTTCACAGGGAAGGCTGCCCCCCAGTTCCCTTCCTGACATTTCCTTATCTAGGGCTTTACAAACCATCTCTGGGTAAGCAGAGAGGCAGGACGGGCCCGAGCCTCAGTGAGAGTGCCTCCGTCTGCCTCTGACGTTCTCCACATTCTCTGAGACTATATCTTCAGAGAGAATGACAAGATCAAATAAAAGCTCAGGGAAACTATATTCTCTATAACATTTACCTTTGCCTAAGACAAAGAATCCCTTTTCTCTTTCTACTTTCACGAGAAGCCAACAAGGAATTCTGTCAATGTGTCTATCAAATGCTTCCCTGAAGGTTTGTCTGCATCGTACTATACCGTCTGCAAGCTGATGTAGAACAGCCTTAAAATTTGGCGCTTTGGTAACTTTAGCCTAAGGATAACCATGGTAAGCCAGCGGGGACCAGAGCCACGTATGGATGTTTACTTTGAGCTCTCTGCCTTATAAACATGTCGCCACCACGGCCCACCAGGCTGGGGACAGAGAAAAGAAGTATGTTGTCCAAGTTCCACAGCTAGTAAGTGGGAGAGCAGATATCTGGGCTCAGGTTTCACAGACCCTGAAATTCACACTTTTGGTACTGAAAGATGCCTCCCACCTGAAAGGAAACCAGGTATGGGGCACCTTGTGTGCTGGGCTCACTGGGCCCTCATGATCCAGTGATCAGCCAAGCCAAGGGCATCACCAATACTTTGGAAACCCTTCCAGAAATCAAAACGAGGCAATGACTGTGTAGAGGAGAGACCTGCTTCTTGCAAAGGGTGCCCCATCTGATTCAAGCTCTCTGCAATATTCGGCTCCATGTATAGACCTTCTCGTCCAAAAGCTTTGGCAAGTTGAGTCTCGTGGCTCTGAAGGCAGCTGTGACTTTAATCCACAGTCACCTCAGCCTAAGGCTTTGAACCGGCTTCTCCTTCCAGCTCGAAAGAGAAGCCCAGCCAAGTCCTCTCTGAAACTGGCATTCCAGCCGACGTTGGAAGGCTGAGCTGAGCTCGCCAGGGGAGGTCTGGGCGGGTATTCAGGGCAGGGACGGCACGAGTGAAGAGTGAGGCCCCCTAGGGGTCGGACAGGACTACCACGGGCTGACCTTTGTAAACCAAGAAAAAAGGATCTGAACTTACCTGATGTATCAAAGGAAATCACATAGGGGTTTAGAGCAGTGGTTCTCAACCTTCCTAATGCCGTGACCCTTTAATACAATTCCTCATGTTGTGGTGACCTCCAACCATAAAATTATTTTCATTGCTACTTCCTAACTGTAATTTTGCTACTGTTATGAATCATAATGTAAACATCTGATATGCAGGATGGTTTCAGGAGACCCCTATAAAAGGATCGTTCAACCTCCAAAGGGGTCCGCGACCCACAGGTTGAGAACTGCTGGTTTAGAGCAAGGGAGCAAAATGATTTAGTTTCCTTTAAGAAAATACCTAATAAGTATGTGGAGAGAGGGTGGGAAGAAGGGACTCGGGGAGAAGTTCAGAAAGGATCTTGACAATTGTGTAAGAGATGAAGGCAGCCTGGCCGGGGTGATGCCAGTGGAGACAGCACAGCAGACAGGTGGAGACACATTCTGGAGCAGAACTGACCACCCTGGGGGTGGATTTGGTGGAGATAAGGGGGTGTTGGGAAGAATTAAGAAGTAAAGTGGGGG